CCAGGCTACCCTGAGCAACGTAGTGAGATCCTGTCTCAATTCAAACTATATAGGGGGAGAGAGTCTTTTAGGAGATTTTGTGAGGGCCAAATGAATTAATATACAAGACTGCATTCCTGGTACATAAGAAGCCTAGAGTTAATGCTCTGACTGACAGGCCTGTTCTAGGTTTTATCCCCATACACCAGGTGTCCCACCTGGTAGTTTCCCAGATGTGGTACTCCTCCCACATTCTACAGATATGCCTTGGTGGGCCCAGGAAGCCCAGGCTATTTGTCAGAGCTGGAATCCTGGGAGCGGAACTAGGATTTAAACACAGGTCTGGGGACCTGGAAGCCCTTCTGGTGGTAAATAACTAAATGTGCTTTGCAAGGGCAAGCTGGGGAAATCGTCCCCAGTTAATATTGAGTGCCAAGTGGCAGTAAATGATCCTTCTCACCAGCAGGGTGACATTGGTCCTTGCTAAAGCTGAGGGTGGAGAACCTGGTGCAACTTATGGCCACTGAGCTGTGGCATATTTGAGACAGGAGCAGCCGCATGTCAGGTGGGATTCCTATCTCATCTCACTTAGGCTCTGCCTCTCCCCTCCAGCACATCAATCCCCCCATGGCTGCCTCCCTCATCCAGAAGATGCTTCAGACAGAAACCACTGCCCACACCACCATTCACGAGTTGCTCAATGACGAGTTCTTCACTTTTGGCTATATCCCTGTGTGTCTCCCCATCACCTGCCTCACCATCACACCAAGGTTTTCAGTAGCTCCCAGCAGCCTGGACCCCAGCAGGTTTTCGAGAAAGGTGAAGCTTGGTCTTGGTAGGGTAGACTCCAGAGAGCCCAGGATACTAGGGTGCATTTCAGGGTACATGTACCTTACTCTGCCCTCAGAGTTGGGTCCTATCCTTGAGGTCTAGTCATGGGCTCTTCTGACCTTTGGCCATGGCAGGAAAAACAGACTGTATCAACAAATTGCACCCAATAAGGAGTAAATGGACTGAACACCAAGCCCAGGAAATTCTTTTTGATTATGTTTAGAAGTCCCTATCAACTCTCTTGCATGTTCTGTTGAGAATGCTGGAACTTGTCAGGTATAGACATGGAGTATAACACGGCACCCGTCCTCAGTTCTTATTCTCAGCCACCATTGTTCACTCTGTACCTTCACCCCTTTGAGGGCTTGTGTTTTGTCTGTCAGGAGAAGGTCTCTCATTGTCACCAGGCTGCTCTGGAGTCAGTCCTCCTGTCTAGGACTCTGGATTACAGGTTTGTCAGCACATCTCACTTTTGAAATATCACTACAGCCAACTCCAGCAGTCCGCCATTTTACACTTGAACTAAAGTACATCTGTGAGTTCAAGGCCCACCTGGTCTACAGAGCGAGTACCAGGACAGCCAGAGCTGTTAGAGAAACCCTGTCTGAAAAAGAAAACAAAGGATTAAATAGAAGAATGAACAGGAAGCTTCTGAC